TAATTAAAAAAATAATCACGTACATAATATAATTAACAAGCACAAGATTCCATCTGATTACAAAAGTATATATAGATTAGCATAATATGTTTATTTCTCTTATTAGTTTTATACACAACAGATCTAAAAAAAACACATTTTCCCGTGGTTTCATTTTATTAAATCTAATATTTAATTATTCAAGAAATAGTTCGATCTTGAATAAACACAGTTCGAGTGGTGAATTTTTTGTTTGCTAAATACATGTTTTGGAAGTGCTAATCATTTTTGGAAATAAAAGACGTAATCGTTGCCAATGAGAATTTTTATGCAATAATAATTTTTAAGACTTTGGAATTGAAAATGGTAATAAATGGAAATATATCATATATATTGAACTTATCAATTTATTTATTGATTAATTGGACACGTCATTAAATCTGCGATAATCATATCTAATATCTTGAAATTTTCCATTTTTAAAACACAAAAGTTTCAGAAAGCTACTTTAAGTTTAATTATTTTTTTCTCAAATTTTTTATATAGTTAGAAGAATTTTAAACAAATTGATATAAAATAAAATGCACTATCTTTGTTATGAAAATGTCTGGATTTATAAATTAACTGAATGAATTTTTATAATTAAGTTCCTTCTTGTATGAGTATAATATTTTTAAATATTAGTTTATAATGTGACAAAACGAAGTTTTTAAACAATTAATTACGAAGAGAAAACCCGACCGATCTTCACCAATAAATCAGCACGATCACCAACAAACTTGTGACTTTCGAATAGTTTTTTTAATTTTCAAAATTGGTTTATGGTTTCTGCAAATTTCTGCTAATTTTAAAGAAACGCCTGGACCAATTGTTGTTCAAAAATGATCAATGCGAGTCCTTATTGAGGACTACTCAAATGGCTTTTAAATTTTTGAAATCAGTGCAGCCTTTTTGAAGAAAATTTGGACTAAAATTTAAATTTTGGCCAACATGTAGGCGAATACACGTAGGTTTTCCAATGTTTGTGTCAAACAGTTCAGATTGACTAGAAACTTCAAGAAAACAAAACTATGAAAAAATTAGCAAATCTCGATTTTATGCCAAAAGCTTCTATATATTAATGACCTTCGGAAAGTTAAAAATCAAATAAAAACTATAAAGACCAAAATCAATAAAAACTATGAAGACCCATGTATTAATATTATTTTAAATCATGCCTTCTAAAATTTGTTTAGTATAAAAAAAATATTAATGTCAATTGTTTAAAAAAAATATCACAAGGGGGTAGAAAAATTTAGAAGATGACACTGTGTCATCACTGCAGTTCAAGTGGTGACACCTTTTATGGAGGTGATTTGATAATTTAAAATGCCCCCAAAAAAGATTTTTTCATAATTTTTCTATCAATTTACCTTTCGATGCCAATCAATCATTCGATCCCCAACTTTTCCTTTTCTCGGTTGACAACGTGTCATTTTCTCCGCAAGTGAAGTCGAAATTACGTGATCTTAAAATTTCTTCTCATTTTTCTCACTCGTCCATGCTTTGGCAGCCAAGCATCAAATTCTGAATCATTTCACGAATCGGAAACGCGTAAAATAATTATTACCGAATTACAGTTTCATAAAGTCGAAATGAAATTTGAAAATTAACCGGTTGGATGAAATTGTAGGTTTAGGTACGATTGTGTAATTGATTACGAGGTAGGAGGATAGAGGAAATTGTAGATTTAACGCATTAATCGACACGATAATACCACAAAAACCACATTGATCATGGTAACTTTATCAGATCAAAGAAATGATTTTTTTTTTGCCAAAATTCCTGGGAAAATACTATTTTTTATGTCACACATATATGACTGGCATGGTCCTATATTGAAATTTTTATCTCAATTAATTTTTAATAATTGCCAAATTGCTTACAATAAATAAATAATACAATATAATTACATATTATATAACCGAAATTTTAGATAAAATAATTTTAATAAAGATTCCATTAGAATTCTGTACTTCTTCAATTCAAACAATATAATCACATTGTAAAACTCTGTAATACAAAGAAATTTATACAACAAACTTGTTGAATTGTATTCACAATTCATCAAATCCATTTGTAATTAATAACAATCATTGTTCTCGAACTTTGTTGAAATTTCTACATCCTTACATGAAATTCTAAATATTAGAAACAAAGTTTCAAGTAAAACAAATCGATTCTTGCATTTGCAAAATAAATTCTTGCATTCCAAAAAAAATTTGAATTGCTTATTATGGGAATCAAAATTATAACCCAGCGGCTTATGGAATTTATGTGTTTTGATTGCTATTCAATATATATAGGTATTAAAAAAATCTTATTTTGCTTACATCTCTTATGAAACCAAAAAAAATGTAATTCAAAATACAGAAAATAATTTTGTATTTGATTTGATTAAATTTGTACTTGCTGTTGTGTATATTCTATCACATAAAAATAACATTTTATTATAGAATTTTGATTGGAAGTGATTGCATTCAATAATGAAGATTTATAGAATAAACTATATAATTATTAAATTCTGCTAAATTTTGTCTGGTAGAATATCTGTTCCAACCCAAGTTTTCACAATTCTATTCTCATACAACTAGTTTTACTATAACAGACAATTCCTACAACTGTTTCTTACTCATAAACACAACATTCGAACAAATAAATAACTTTTACACCCACAACAACAATTATAATAAAGTTTTCGCAGTCTGTTGCAAAATTTCATATTATATTTCTTGATTTGAAAGACATGACCGCTCTATATACAAACAACTTATCTTATTTGACCTCTTGATAAGAAATTATTTGAAATAGAGATATATAAATTTATTGTACATTTATGGATAAGTGAATGAACGAAATTTTATTGTTTCTTGCATATATAAAACCGAGATACAGCTATTTCATCAAAATGTTGATGTAGGTTTATATGGTAAATTCCGTTAACTTTTCAGCAAGTTATGATAAAAAAATTCAGATAGTGCTAAATTATTTAAGTTGGAATTAGTTTTAATTTATGAGAAAATATAATTATCCTTGCTATTATCATTTATTATTCCCGCCTATCAATTCAATTAAATTATTCTTTATTCTAAAAGCGATTAAACAGTTATTGACATTGACATAATAAAGTCAACTTCTGAATCAATTTAAATAACTTGATATTTATACAACATGAACTTGAAATCAGTTGAAATATATTATGGCCATTTAGACAGAGTTAAAATTGTACTGGAGAGAAGTGGAAAGGAAATTTGGATTTATAAAAGATATTGGCCAATAAAATATGGAGGAAAAATCTGATATGAATGGGTTCTATGTGGACCAAGAAAAGTCTAAACATTTGAAATACCACTAAGAAGTAGCTAATAACAATTTATTTGAAACGATCTGAAAAACTTCAATACTTGCTTGAAATTTATTGGATACAATTTTGAAACCAAATGGAAACAATTCTAAGTAATTTAATTGACTAAGCTTGATTAATTTATTAAATTAAAATGAGAAATTATGAATGATGTCGAAGGGTCAAACAAAAATGCTGGTGATTATTTGGAAAAGGCATGAGGACTAGGAATAAGGGACATGCACTAATAAATTTCATATTGATCATATTTATCCATGACATACATTTTTGATTACAATACATCATAAAATTTGCAACAAATGAAAGTGCAAGTTAAATATAATTCTTTGATTAGTCCATAATATTCTATGAAATCAACATGTTTTATAGTACAATCAGTCAGTCATTTATGAAAGATGATTACCTCTCAATGATGAAATTTATAAGCAAAAAAAATGATTTCTCGCGGTCGATTGGCTAAGAACTAGTATTTCATTGGTATCAGAAAGTGTTTGATTTGAACAACCGCAAAAAAATTATATAGCCTACAGAATAAACAGCAAAAGCCACAGAGATAAGAATGGTTAAATATAATAAAATAAATATTAAGTAAATGTAATAAACAATTTTGCAGGAAAAGGTCCTGCAGGAAATATCCTGAAATGAAATGGTTGAGCATCAGAGCAAATTTTTTAGTTATTTAAATTATTTTAAAGTTTTAGTGCATCCCAATGGGTTTTAAAGTTTCTTTTGAATCTGTGCTTATTTTTGCAGATTAAGAGAAATTTACTTTCACGAGCCGGAAACTTACAGGATTCCTCAGATCAATCATTTCAAGTCATTAATTTTAATCCAAAACCTTGTATCGAAAAACCTGCCATATTTCTGCATATAATTTCAATAAAATATGTATAGTTCAATCATGTAACGCATATTTAACACGTTAATCGCCATTAACAGAAGAAATTTCACATGGGCCATTGTAACTTTAGTAGATAATTTAGTTGAAAATGTATCAAGAAAACGATGTATCAAAGAAAAAAATTGTCATAACTTCATAAGAAAACTTGATGTATCAAAAAACCAAAAAAATGCCAAATTTTTGGAAAAACAGCAAAAAGAATTTCACATGGGCCATGTTAACTTTATTGCATAATTTAGTTAAAAATGTATCAAAGAAAAATTTGCTAAAATTTCGGGAAAAACACTATTTTTATGTAACACATATCAGGAAATTTGATGTATCAAAAAAACCAAAAAAAGGCAAATTTTTGGAAAAACAGCAGAAAGAATATCACATGGGTCATGGTAACTTTATTAAATAATTTAGTTAAAAATGTATTTATCGAGAAAACTTGATGTATTGAAGAAAACAAATTGCCAAAATTTCTGGAAAAGCACTATTTTTTATATGATTGACATATTAAAACATTTTTTCTCGATATATTTTCTCGATTTTCTTCGGTTGTTCTTGCCTATGTCAGACATAAATGTTTGTCATGGCCCATGTGGGACTTCCTACCGTCAGACACATATGACTGACATGGTTAAAATTATCCTTAAGGATATTTTCAAAAATAGAGATGAATATAAAGAATAGACATGGATATATTTTTTTATAATTTATAATTGTGTCTACCTGTCTGTTTCAAACAGTATGATATAATCCAGCCGGCGTGCGGTAATTGTAAATTTTCTCGAGGAACAATATAATGTAATAATCACGTTAACAGAAGGTTCAAAGGTGCTTTTATCGCAAACACTATAGTAACCAAAACACCATGTATTATATCAGTTGTTACTTTCCTCAATTACACGAAAGAGTCGAATTGTCTTACGAACACACACGTGAATGCATGACGAGTTTCGCCTGTCTTGCGATCACGCCACTTTTGAAACCGAAGTACCGTACGGTGCGACGGCGGCCTTCTCGAGTCGCGGCGATTTCAATACTGAACCTGGGTCGCCGAGTCGCCGTGCGCCTCGCAGTCAGACGGGGTCCCTCCGTCCGCCGTCCGTCTGTCAAACGACGGACTCGGCCTGCGGTTCTACTCGAATGTTGTGTACTCAACCTGTTCGGTTGCGAATTTGCGCGGTTTTAATTTTCATTGATATGTAAATAATATAAAGCAACATCCGATTGTCGTCAAACACAATGATTGGACAAGGGAAGCGACCGGGCAGATGGATCGAATTAATGACATTTTTGTGAGGACTGCATAATTATTTGGCCAACTTTCAATACAAATGTATAATTCATGCACACACATTACATTTTGGTATATGCATAATGCATATTCTCCTGAAATCTGCTTCTATTTTGTCTTGATATTTCAGATAGATATTTGTGAAAAATTTACCATCCATGCCTCCCGGATATTTTATTATTAAATTTAGATTTAGATAGGTAGTATTATTAACTTCCCATAGGGTAAGTTATAGTAATCGTCTAAAAATCAAAATTTTTTGCTCATCTTTACGTTTCAGGGGTTTACGATCAGTGGCGTAACTAGACCCTCCGAGGCCCGTGGCAAATTCTTTAGGGGCCCTATCGTGATATTCAATGTTTATTTTATTTAGTTTTTTTTAATGAACTCGATATTTTCAACGTACTCAATAGCATCACTCCAACCAAAACACTTTTTAATGAATTATATTGCAAATGAGTAAACCAACTTCGACTAATTCAAATTTTATGGCTTTAAATTATGAAATTATAAAGACAAAAAGAAAGTACAATATTAATTCAAAATTGACAGATCACTTTTCTCTTATACTATTCACTTCTAATTTTAAATTTTCAAATTCATGCCGATACTTTTCATTTGTACTAAAAAATTTTTCAAATGTTTATGATGGCTTTAGATTATACGAGTGCTCTAGATGCTTCAAAGATAATTTGCATGTAAATCAAATAACATAATAAAATTGTATTTTTCAAACTTCTTTTTATGTAAAATAACTTAATTTTTTTCATCTGATTTGAATTGTTTTTGTTGTACTTATTGAACCTCAACAAAACGAACTTCTACAGCAAAAAGAGCATCATAATGTTCTGCCCATTATGATGCCATTTTTGCTTTAATAGTTAGTTCTGTTGAGTGCCTAAAAGCACAGAAATCTTTGTTCAAATATTTTATGATTAAATTGTAATTGTATTATTGTCTTTAGTAGTCTCACTTTGAACTTTAAGAAGAATTTAAACTATATATTAAAACATAAATTAAATTTTTCAAGTGTAATAAAATAATCAGGTACAATATAAAAAATATATTTTTGATACCGCGGTCACTTTGGCCAGGGGTCCCCTTAGGTCGGAGGCCCGTTGCATTTTGCCACCCATGCCACTAGTTACGCCACTGTTTACGATCATTTTGGCATACCTTATAGAAAAAATAGATGTATGTCTGTGCGTGTGTGTATGTGTGGATACAATTTTTCTTCAACGTTTTTGAGAACATGGATCAATCGTTTCGAGTGATTCAAAAAAACATTCGATTCCTATTGGTAGGAAGACATGCTGATTAGTTTTTGGCAAAGACAGGACTAGCTGATTTTTCATTAATAATTATTTCTACTTTTTGAAGATCTTTGCTCTTCTAGGAACAATTCTAGACTTATTTCTACTTCTGGGGGATTATATCTGAAATTGTTGCTGCCAGATAAATATTTGGGGAAAATTCAGCATTCTATTATTCCGGATATTTTATGATACCTCTTTGTGACCTTTTGTAAGACTCGCTCTGTAACTCATGTATTAAAATTAATATGAAATAATATTAATGGAATGTAGGGCATTTATGTTTCAATTTATCACAAATAGATAATTTTCAATTAAATTAAATTAAATGCGATAAACGTATTTCAGAACATTGATATAATTTTTGATAGCGATTTAAAATTAAATTGTAATATATATTTAATTGATATAACAAACATTTATTCCATATCAAAGCACAAAAAATCAGATAGATACTTGTATTATAAATTGAAAAAAATGTGCATTTCATAGCACAAACTGCATTGTTCTAGAATTTTGTATATCTATTAATATTTTGTTTTTTTTTTATTACTTTTGGTAATTTTTCACTAAAATATCAGTAATTTCAGAATGTCGAATCATATATTCATAACAAAACAATCCAGTTCTCATTTCAAGTTCGTTCTCATTCAAAAACCGCTACTTGAAAATCTGTTCCTCAAAGTTGAACGCATTCCGTTCTTTTGTTCTTCTTAATGTTTTTACTAAAAGACAAAATGCACGAACTGAAGAAAAAAATGTCTAAAAAAAAACATATTTTATAAAAGACAAATGCGTATTTTTTATGATATCTATATTACTCAAGTTGTTATCTGGTTTTATGTTATTTATTATCTACGAGCATTTGTAATAATGAACTTTTTATAGTTAACACGTAAGTTCTCCTTTATTTAGTTAACGTGACGCAATTATTGTTAAAATATTTTTCACAACGATTGCAAATACTTTACATAGATAATATACTTGTTCTTATCGTTATTTTTAGAAAATAATTTTTTAACAGAAATAAAATTCATACCCAGAAAACGCATCATTGATTTAATAATTAATAATTTGAAGACAAATACTTTTCTTATCAATATCAATGAACATTAATATTGAAGAATTTTTTTTCGGATTATAACAAGAATTTTGTCACTATGTAAAATCGATAAAAAATTACATATTAGTCGAGTCTATGATCTACAATTTTTATAAATTTTGGGTTATTCAAATATTGGCCCAACTTTTCTAATACTGATGATTCTTATAAAAATAAATTTTGCTAATCGGTTTATTTCGCACTTATTGTTGACGTAAATCTGGCAGTATATTTTCTACAAAATCTTTATTACAAGAGCCAGGACACTTCTTGTTGAAGATCACTTCCACATTGTCTATTTTTATTGAAATCTAAAAATAATATATACATTTGTCAAATGACACTTTTCTTGTATTTTCAACTGCAGAGATTAGACACATACACTATGGGAGAGGTACATTAATATAAACTAGAAATAGATAATTTATTATAGATTATTTATATATATATATAAACAAACAACGTTATATTTAAAAAAATAATAAGTCTTTAAGCTCTATAATAATAATGTTAACATTAATTTTGCCATGCTGTATCTTATCTTTTTCTTGGTTATTTTATAAAGTTTAAATATTTACTTCATTATTTATATATTTTTTGAGAAAGCGTCAAATTGGGACTCAAACGAAAGTCTCATTTTTTTTTTCAAAAAATTTTCAGGTTTTTTGATGTAGTCCAAATGTTAAACACATTTCAGTTGATGTCAATTAGTAAAAAATATTTTTGTTCGGTTGCATAGTTTTTGTTTATTCGTTTCCATATATATTTTGTGTATAATAATTATCTAAAAAAATAGTAGAATAGTAGCCCACCTCAATTTAATTCATATTCTTCATAAAAAACATTTGAAAATCGAAAGTCATGGGTGTGCGTCGTTGTTCTGTCATTATTATTTTTCTTGTTAGTTCAAATTATTAGTATCATTATTTAAAAATATTCTAGTTATAAACATCTTACTTGCAATGAATCTCAATATCAATATCTTTTTACAATGCATCTCGATATCAATATTTGTTTGATTATTCCTTGCGATTTGGAGAAGTGCTAATAGTTTAGGTGTGAACACAGATTTTGCAAATAAATATACTTGTTAATTAAATATTTGTAAAAATAAAATTTAAGTTCTAAATCAGAGAAAAATCAATTTGCAAGATTGTAAAGAAAATTATTATGGCTGTTATAAACAACGAATTAAAGAGTTGCCCCAGACGTCTTCGTGGTTATAAAATTCCAATTTACCAACGACGCAGCGGTAATTCTCGGGATTCTTCTACTATAATTCGCAATAATGGTTTTATTTCGGCAATTAGCAATAATATTTGCAATATCATAAGTCGTTTTTTATTATAAAACAAAATTTCCTAATGACACAGCGAGTGAGAACTGAGAAACACTATTCGTCCATCAAGTCGACGTCATCGCCTAAAGGTCGTCCAGCTTTTACTCTCTTATGTCAAAAACCCAACACGTGGTCAGAGCAGTAACCGATACGAAGAAATAATACAATCGATGGTCATTGTTAGTAGTACACACGATAATTATATTGTATTAATTTATTTTGTTTTATTCAAGCATAGTATTTTGTTAGGTATAAGTTGCCACTGTGTTGCGCATTAGTACAACTTACGCACGTTTCTCATTGATTGAATCATTTTGTAGAAAAACATTTGGAATTTGAATCTCAAGTGGATTAGAGTGAAATTTTTTGATGATTTTTAAATGCAATGCATAAATAAGAGTCAGTATTTTTTCAGATATGTATGTCTTACTTCTGAATCTGATCTTCTCCAATTTTAATCTTGCTTTTTTTCTTATTTCTAATTTTATTCAAATTCGACTCAAATTCTAACATTTATTTTCTAAGCAATTCTATATCAACAATTCAAATTCTATTTAATTTCAACTCAACATTCTGTCATTGTCAAGGATCTATCCGAGGATCGCTGGAGGATCATGTGAGTCGGACACGTTACTGACTGAGTTATGCATTGTGTTTTAAAAATTACCATGTTACCAGTCTACTTGTGAATTATTAAATTAATTAGGAAGTTGATTACTTTATCATTTATTACCATTAGATTTCCTCATATCATAGATGATAGTTTTAATGGTTCGCATAAATTATTCGCATACACGATAATAAATACGACAAAACCGCTGTTTAGGTCACTTGTGCACTTAACAACACCATAAAACAGTTCAAATGAAAATTGTTAATGTAGTTTATATGTTGTAATTAATTATAAATAGCTGAAAGGAATCGGGAAGTTCTAAACTGATTATGATAAAATTTAATACCCCAAGATGAACGCTGT